ATATAGATTATTGCTATTTAGAAACAGGTTCTTAAGCTTATTTTTCTTAAAACATAGAACAATAAATAAAGAAATAAAGCAAACAATTATCTCTTCTAGTTACGACCTTTGTATTTGGTTGCTGCTTCATGTAGGTTGCTAAGCCTTTTAAAATTTTGTACGTGGAGAATATGAATCGAAATAATTTTTTTTAGGTTTTTATATATATACATACAGTTGAATAACCAAAAAATCATAAATTACTATCTCAATACCACAGAATTCCACTATAATTTATCAAGCTTAGTAACTATGTATAGTTTCAAATTTCAGAGTGGGTCAAAGTGATCCACTTTGTATGGAAAGAGTTAAATAGTGCAAATTTACATAAAATTTAGATTTTTCTAACAGAAAAATATTTTCCATTAATGTAGCAGATAACAGCCACTCCAACAACAAAGAAAACAGCATTAAAGGTGAAGAGTCCAGGGTTGTAGAAAAACTACTGGAGAAGGTAATGTTTAATCAGTAGATTATTTTCATCATCATCATTATGTGTATCTCTGACAAAGAGGTACTGTTTGATTTGAACATATTTTTTTTTCTTGATATTTTGTTTAATATTTTTTTTAGAAAATAAGATAATTAAAAAATTTGGAATTTAAAAACCTGCAAATAGGAATTGTAAAAAACAAAGTAAAGAAACAAGGCTGTAGATACTGTAGACATTATTTACTCAAACTATAAACTCCTATTTTGGCTCCATGCTGTTACGTAGAATTACATTTGGTGGAGTCAAAGTAGGGATTTGTAGTCTTAATGTATGAAATAAATTTGATTCACATCAAGGAAATCCATAAACAATATATGTGTGTGTGTATATATATATATAAAACTAAGATATAGAAGTAGGTTTTAGCTTTAGCTTTGTTTTATATCAATTATTGCGAGTGAAATATGTTGCTATTTATCATGTGACATCTACAAACTTTTTTGTGTTTTGCATGATAAGAGATTGTTTTCATTTCTACCAATTTCTTCACAAGTAGGCATTTCAAGGAAAAAATAATTTCTCTAAGATGTTTTAAACACCTTCTCCAGTAGAACAATATTGTAATAATTTCACTCAAGGATAAATAGTTAATCTTGCCAGAAAGCATTTTTAGTTTATTTAGGTAGTCTCGACTTGTTGCTTTCATTGATGGTAACATTAAGAACGTTCTTATTCGTTCAAAAGTTAAATGTATTTTTATAATAATTTTCATATTATCTCATCTTAGTTTATTAAGTTGTCAAAAGTGAAGAGAGTAGTATTTTGGTCATATCATATTACAGCTGGAATAGGAACCTTGACTTCATTCACTATTTTGTATTTTAAAACTATAAATTCAGCAGTTTTTATACAACAGTGGAAAGTGGGAAAAGGAGATTTACACACACTAGCACTTAGATAAATGCTGCAGTTGACAAGTGACATTGCTTAAGTAAAAGGATAAAGACAGGCTACTTGTATATGATTAAAGAAGTAACATGCAGACCCAGTAATACAGATATAACTTGTTTGCAAAACAAGTCTTTCTCACTGATAACAATTTAAAAGGAAGAAAAAAGTGCAAAAGCGTGCAAAGTTAAGTGTCAGCTGATTGGATTAGAATCATTGTAATTTATTGTTGAATATTTTAATTTCATTTATTAAAAAATGCTGTCATAGTACACATTCTGGCATAAGCTCTACAGTTAAGTGTTAGTAATTCATATTTAATTGTGTGAATTAAGTCAATTATTTTCCATTTATTTTTTATAATCATCATTTTTGTATCAAATTCCCTATTTTTTAACCCTTTCGAGACGGGTCACAGGTGAAAGACCATGCTATCCTGTTTGTTGACTCGCATTAAAAATTTTATTGAGCTACTATTTCATGAATTTATGTCAGTAAGTTTGGTATTGAGCTGTAGACTATAATTCAGATTTTAGTATTACTCCTTACTCAATTTCTCAGTTAAGAAGTAAATATTAAAAAAAAACACAGTTAAACATTAATTTTTGTGTGTCATGTGGTATGTTAAATGCAGCACTGGTTCAAATTAAATGTTTCTGATGTCAAAATACTAAATCTATAGTTTGTATGAATTAGGAACTCAAATTACCAATATTGACAAGCTAGAATATAAAATAAGAGCCTATTATCTTTTGCAATTTGCTAAGATATTGCTCATTTAATAAATCAAACAGTGACATTCCACCCACCTCTTTCCATTTTTGGAAATGAACCCTTATATAAACTTACTTCTATACATGAAATGAATAAACAATCGAAAGTTCAGAATGTCCCCCCTAGTGGCTTTCTCAGTCATTTTAACGTGTTTGGATGCCATCTCTTTCTTTTGAATCAAGATTTCAAGAAGGTAGGTTGTGTCTTTAGTTTGCTCAAAATTTAATATTTTTTTTAGACTGAAATACAGCTTATTAACATACTAGAACTAAATTTTCTAAGTATATCCTCATGGAATTCAATAAGTTATTAGGAAACACAAGTCAGTTGTATATTTAAAAATTAGATTTTCAATAGGGTATTTCTACTAAAGATTTGTCTGGGAATTTACAAAGCTTTTATTGAGTCAGCCTAAGTGAAAGATAATTTTAATGTTTAGAATGACAATACTTATTTCTATCTTACAATCTTCATATTTCACTTACATAACATCTAGATCCTCCTAAATGAATATCAAGTTTTCTTCAGTAAAACTGTTTCTTTTTCTACATTTTCTTTACACTAATACCAACTGTAGCAAATTCATTGATGTACAGTGAAAAGTATGAAATAAAATTAATAAATAATACCCTTGTTATCTTTCAATGCATTATATGTTGGCTACAACCTATCTATCAATTCAAACTTTGTAAATTTATGTTACTCAACCCTAATTTTCTCCATTATACTTTTAATAAATCACTTTGGTTTGTTAGTCCTTTGTTTTTCTTTTCCTCATTTTAGGAACATGCCTGTCTTTAACTGAAAGACATTTTTTCATGCCTATAAACTATACCATATTTCATTGGAAACTTCCTTTTTTTGTGGTTTTTATTAAGCTTTAGTATACATTTATAGTTCATTTAATCCTTTAGAGTGAGACTATTTAACAAAATATTTTGAAAGTCTGATGTTAAGAAGTTTGGTTTACCTGTAATACGTGTTACATAAGTTAATAAAGATCCTTTTAAACATTTATTGGATAGGCAAATGGAAATGAATGATTATATTTAATTTGGTATTGATGCTTTGGTAAGTAGTCATGGTAAACTGAACCAAATGACCCTCTGTCACCTTACATTTTCATTTAAATCATAAAAGAACACATAGAAATGCAGCAGTTAATGTAGAAGAGCATTCTCAATGGTTATCATGGTTGTGACTTGTCCACTGTCACTTTTCAAAGAGATTAAAGAAGATATTGATATGTGACCAGATTTAATAAATGAAAAACTGGAACAACTCTGTTTTAGTGGGAGTACCCCTTTCCCTACACGGCCAATGGAAAATTTTGAAATATCCATACAGAAGTGGTGAGAGTTTTCAGAGTACATTTCTGCAACTTTCTGGTGGTTTCAAAGAAAAAAAAAGGAAGGGAAATACATTTGTTAAACTGAAAAAATATGTGAATCAAAATACTGAAGGTGTTGGCTGTGATGTACAGTTGAGTCGAGTCAATAACTGAGAAAACATTCACTTCTCTATTTAAACTATCAGAACAGAGTGAGTGAGGCTTACCTATAATTCATTCCTAGTCAGCTCAGCATCTTCCAAAGTGGCATAGAAAAGGTTGAGGGAAGTAAGAAAAGTATGATTGAAGTAATGGCCATGTTGGAAGAAACTGTCCAAACAATTAAGGAAAGATGTGGCCAACATTTCATTTCCATTAACGTAAAATCTGTTCTGAAGAGAAATGAAATTTTCGAGTCAGCTGTTTCAATTTTCAAATCAGAAATGGATGAAGACACTTTCAAATATGTTGGTGTTTTCCTGGATTCTTCACAATGCACCACCTTTGTGGGAACAATTGAGGCTACTTATTTGTACTTGAGGGAAAAGGGAATTGCAGTGGATGATGCAGTCGTATTTAACCAAATGTTGTAAAGCATGTACAAGACAGAATAAAGAAGGTTGGAAAATTTAACTTTGTCATGAAAAATGGGTAGATTTCTTCAAGCAATGCGAGCACTGAACAGTACACAGAAGTTATGAAGTTTTATCAGTACCAGTTTGCCATTCTTTCACAACAGTAGTATGGAGAGAATATTCTACTTGATGAATGTGCTGTGGACTGATGAGAAAAACCACATGAGAGTAAGTAAATTGGAGGTGATTCTATAAGTCATAACAAATTTAAAGATGAATTGTGTGTAATTGTATGACTTTTTGATTAAACAAAGATATTTTGAAGAAAAAAAAAGCTGAATACAGTGAAAAGTATAACAAGTTTTAAGAGATTCAAAAATTTATTGAGTTTTTCATTTACAAATAAGTAAAGACAAATTGAAACAGTTTAAAATGATTTACAAATTAACCTATTATCATTTATACATGAACTTTTACCCTAAGATAATAATCAAGAAACTGCTAGGAAATGTTTAAACAATGAGTTCAAACATTTCCAGGCAATTTTTAGCCCTCCACAATGCATTTTATCAATCATTTGAATGCAGAATGTAGCTATTATCTTTGGAGTTTTGTTCAGTAGAGAACCAGTTTCCAACAGTATGGATGTTATCCCTTTGTTTAAGTAAAAACAATAATAATGACAAAATGAAATATTTTTGTAGACTTCTAACTGTCTGCTTCTGTAGTGATTCCAAATAAGAAGTTTTCTCTACTTCATTAACAACTTCTTTTATGTAGTGTAGGGTAGTAACAGCTGTTATCAAAGCTATGGTCTGGTTCTTGCAGATTAACACTTTGCTGAAATTTTAGAAACTAGATGTAATATACAAGCTAGATTATTCATACTGTCAGCTGATGTAAAAGAATAGTGATGTTTTACAGTATGATAAGCTTGAGTTAGCTCTGCTGCATGGATTTTCAATTCTTCATATGATTTATCTGATGGAGAAGGTATACAATTTCTTAGATGTACACAACGAACATATTTTGCTCACGCGTTTCTTTGGGCTCATGTGGTCCTTTATGTCTGCACAATCACCATGTTCTATACTTAACACAAATAGTACATTCTCTTCCTCATTTTGATGGTCCTTCTTATTAAACATCAGGTCCTTCAAATATTCTTTCTTATAAACATATTTACATTTAGTTATTTTTAACACCTAACAAAACAATAATACTAAAAGTAAAACTTGGAGTACTGTAGGGCCAGTAAAAAATAACAGTCTACAGTCACCATGCGTGGTGCCTACACAATTATATGTGAAATAAATAAATCACCATGTGAATGAGAACAATACAAAAAAAGCAACCTACTGGTTGCCCCTTTTATATACATCACGTTATCTATGCTTTTAATGGCTTTCAATAACAACGTGCCTTAAATGTTTTTGTTCCTTCATGAGTACTCCTCACAAATAATAATCCTATAGTTACAGCTAGGTACATGAGCTATGCATACTTTAGACACACATTTCCCTTTTTTAAAAACCAGAACAAATCTGCATCTCTAAGCCTTTTTTAAGGCTCAGGGGCAATAGGTTCATATTCAAAATCAGAATGTGTTCACCCTAGATATTGATAAGACTGATAAGTTGCATCGAGCACACCTGTAATAATAAACACTACTAGTAGTTCTAGTACTATGCAATGAGAATGCTAAATATGTGCATTGTAAGTAAGGGTTAATAACTAGTGAAACTTTTTTTTTATTTAGCATACAAAAAAAAAACGCTTTAAATGGTTCAAAAAGACCAATGCATGCCAAAAGTAGTAACACTAACAGGGTAGTGTCAGTCATAGGGTTCTACACTTTATTCTTGTTATACTTTAATTTGGTTAAATCTAATTTGAAATGTGCAGTCTGCAGTGTTTGAATTCACCTACTCAGGTACTGTACCTCAATCTTACAAGTTATACAAACACGTTAAATAACAGAAAAACGTTTTCGGCGATTTAATTAAGTATATCTGAATGCTAACTGTCTAATAACCGAGGGTCTTTAATTAAAAGCTTTTCAGCCATTTTACTCAATCG